TACTTGTGTTTAGAGTTGCTCCAATTGCTAATTGTAATTGAAGAGGGATTTGAGGAGGGCCTTATACCTAGGTGTGTCTTAGGTAGAAGTTAAGTAAAGGGTAATGATTAAGTGTGTAGGCTATAAATTGGGATGCTTGTTGTGAGGTCTATAAGTTGATACTATCTAGTTAATTTCATCCCTAGCTTGGTAGCCCCCAGAGTAGGTGTTGTTATCACCGAACAGGGTAAACATATTTTTTGTGTTATTTACTTTCAGCACTGTTTATTTCACTTATACATCTTGTTGTTGCGTATTGAAGTCAGATCCGGTGTCCCGACATCTCTTAGGACATCTGGGATCTGACATCTAGAATTTCAAATAGAATAGCAATGATCAACTATATTCAAGTCGTAATGTCTCTATTAGATTATTAAGAAGGCTTTTGACATATTTAAATGTCTAATTACCAACTCGTTGTGTCTTCAAACATTGTTTCCAAGTCTTTTTCTATGTTCAACATCTCATTACCAACTTTCTGTGTCTTGTTTCCTTGTTTCAAAGTTTTTTCTTATCATAAATCGATGCAAATCTATTATTTGTTATCAATGAAAAGTATGTTGATTTCAATTGTTTAGATAGTTTTGAACTAAGGAAAGTTGTTAAGAAACTAAGATTGAATGATTACTTTCACATTCTTCATGGTCCCATATACACTAATCTCGTTAAAGAGTTCTGGATGAATGCCTCTGTTGTTCTAGCTGATCGTGATAAAGTCATCCAGTCATATGTCAATGGCTTCATTTCTTCATTACTCCATCACTGATTGCTATGACAATCAACTGTCAAGAGACAGGTAGTATTGTTGAACACTATGAGTTCAACAATGTCTACTCAACTCAACTTCACTGAATTTATGCCAATTAAAATAAGCTCTCGAGTCCTGCTTCTCTATTCCCAATTTTAAAATTTTGATTTCAACTTCTAGTGGTAAATCTCCGTCTAAGAGAGAAAGACATGGAAACCCTTACTTGGTATGACAAGCATCTCTTGTTATTCCCCACCTACAACATCAGAGTTAATCTTCCTCTGACCATTTTCAACTTCTTGAAGGAAATGATAAAGACTTCTCAGGAGTAAATGACTTTCCTCATACCTAATGGGAGAGTTCTTTCTGAACTTTTCTGTAAGTTAGGGATAGTTATGGGTAATGTTGAAGTTGAGTGGACTGAGAAGTTTGAATTTATTTAGTAGTTTTCTTTGTTGTGTTATTTTTTTATTATCAATGAAATATTTCTTTTTTGTATTATTGTCTATTATTGTTTATTGATAACAAAGTTTTTGAGAATTACTAATTAACAAAAAAAGAACATGGCATCTGGAAAAGACGCCAAGTGATAAATCATTGAATTTTTTTAATGCGACAACGGGGATTTGAAGCGAGGTTCCTTATAGCTATATTACCTCGGTTCTAAAGAAAACTGAGATAACATGTTTATTATTTTTTTGTGGATAAAAAAGGAGCTAACTTATAACTGTGTTACCTTGGTTTTTTTTAATGCCGACGTAATATGTTGTTTATCTTATTAAAAAAATAAAACATTGCGCTCCCAGGATATATCCTCTTGGTTTTTAGCATGTTGGAGATTAAAACTACATCATAAAAAGTGTTATTCATCGTAGTGATTCCTTCCTTACCCTAAAGAATGACATCCTTAAAGTATTCAAAGGATCTAGGTAATGGGATTAAAAACACTTGAGCTTTGTCCTTATCTTTCATTTTCACCTAAATATTTTGCGAATCATTAATGATCTTGTTAACTTTTATCAGATTCTCCACAATAGATTTATTCTCCACCATACGAAAAAAAATAATTTTTTTGTTTTTGACATAAAGATTCAAACTTGACCCACATCTCAGCCGCAATCTTTTTCCTCACGAATTCCCTTAATACTTTATCTCATATGAACAAGATAATGACATTTTTCCCTTATCTATCATCTGGGTCTTTTCAGCTTATTTAAGACTTGAAGGCATCAATGTCTCTCCCTTTAGTACTTCTACACACCTTTAATGAATTAGTATTACTTGCATCTTTACCTTTCATAAAATTCATTGTCTATGAAACACTTCTCGATGTCCTATTTAGTGTTCACTTGCAAACTTAACCCCTTTGCCTTATAGTGGATGCCATTTATTGTTAAATTGATAGTATAATTAAAAACACTTAAAAGAATTATTCAGAGTTTTAATAACAAAAAAAATTTGATGTGTGAGACAAAGAACAATGTCAATCAGACAAATGACCTCAAGTAATAAAATAATAATTGGCGAGAACACGGAGATTTTGTTTATCCAATTCGATCAAATGGATCCACATCTAGGGGATAGAGCAACTCTCCAATTCAATATACTTCAAAAGTTGTTACAAGAGATTATAATGAGTTAAAAGAAATTAATTAGTCTTTGGAATTCTCAATAACAAACTCTATTTTCTACCCAAGTATTTCTCAATTTCTCAAACTCTCAATATAAGAATCACACTAATCCAAGGTATTTAAAGTGTTTACAATCTCTTTGATAACCCAAAAGTCGACTAAATCCTTAAAATATAATTTAAAGAAATTTTACTCTTTACTTTTCACACGGATTTCTACCTTATACAACTTCTACAAACTTAAAAAATTAGAGAAAAACTATAATTATAAATATCAAAACCTTAACGAACCTAAAATATAACCCATTAACAAACCAATACGTGAACAAACCTGCAAATTTATTAGTACCAAATTATTTTCCCTCTTTTGTCACTTAAGTTTTAAGATATAATACATCATGCATGGAATTTAATGTCCAAGATTCAATGGCCACAAATAATACACCATAAATCATTTAGACTTTATGGAGTAACTTACCCTTATAGTTATCCATCTCAAAATAAACCTAATTACTTGCTAGTAATATAGTCTACTTTCTGATTCAAGTCCCTGCAATTTTATTTCAACCAATTGTACAATATTGACTTCGATCATCATCTCTCATGGTGGGCTATAGTTGTTTAAAGAGTTAATGTGAAATCATGTTCATGTTAATTAAAGTGACAAAAGATCTAAAAAGTGTTCCAACTTTCAATAACTAGTAGTATAATATTTATTCTATATAGTTTCCCAAGGAAAGCAAAAATGGAAGGCAAGCAAAGCTAAAAACAAGGGACACTGGCCATTCAAATATTGATTGAGTGCCTTGAATGTAAAGACATGGAATGAAAAGTTCCTCGATAGAACCAACATGGGGGAGGCAATGGCCTTCTTGAATTTGGTTAATGTTTCACTTTATAAACACCTTCTAATGAATCTAATACTAATTTTTATATTAAATCATTTTTATTTTGGACTACTCAAGTTTGGATTTCTCTACATTTCAAACTTCGATCATTAGATTAAAATTTAATTGGGGGAACGGATAGCAATGGTTTAAATTTGAGTTGAATAAATTAGATGAGTTAAAACTTACAAGATCATGGTTCTTACAATTACAAACTACTAATACACTAACAACAAGTTACTAATATAGGGGGATATGACTACCATAATATTTGAAATTGTAATTGAGACTATAATATCAATTATGTGATAATTTTTGCAACCGCATTATCTCACAATTTATGTGAGAATTAAAATTATGTATGCGACCACATCAAAAATTCCATCAAATAATATTTACCATTTTTGTTTAAATATTTTTATAAAAAGAAATAAAATCTTAAAACTCATATCTAAGTCTTCTTTTAATATGATAAAAATGTTAACTTTAATAGTTTCTCAGTTGTACATTCCAAACATTTCTAACCATGCACACCACAACAATTATAACAATTTATAATTCGTATCACAACACACAAAATAACTATAATTATAATGTATGCATCTATATTTATATTTGCCACTGTAACTGTAATTTAAAATCATCCTGACAACATATCTTAAATCTAATATTAACCTAACAAAAGATAAGAGAGGTAAGATATTGTTGATGTGATATAAATAGAAAAAAGTAAAAATATATAATGTGTTGAATGTTGTTAAGAAATTAAAAGTGTTAAATTATTGTTTTTTACTACAATAACTCTAAGGTATCTTGGTGCAATATTTAATCCAAATTATAGTAACAACATTGCTAATCTTACACTCATTTTTATAACAAATATTTATATCATACGTACGGTTCACTGTATTTATATGATGAATATTATTTTTTTAAATAAAAACTAAATTTATGAATAATACCGTGAATAATATACGAACAGTAATTATGAATAATATTTCTAAACATTCCATGAACAATAACTTTTAGTAATAAATTAAAATTGGTAAATAAAATATAAAAAAAACTTAATAAAGTGATGAAGTTGGTTAATAAATACTTAAATATTAAAAATAATTTTTAACAGTAAAATAAAATTGATTAATACAATATAAAATATTAGATAATAAAATTACGAAGTTAATTAATAAATACTTTAATTTTTAATAGTAATGAAATTGATTAATAATAAAATTTAAAATATTGATTAATGGAATTATAAATTTGGTTAATTTATCTATACTCCAATTAATATTAAAAAAACGTTAAAAAAATTATTATTAAAATATTTGACTGTTTATCGTACGGTGTAGTATAATATAATTTTTCTTCTAGTAAATCTCCTTCTATATATCTCACTTCAAAAGGTGGTGTGTTTTTTCTTTTTGCTTCTCTTGGGACCCAATAAACAAACATGTCAGAGAAAAGGGACAAAAGAGAAGACCATATCTTCGTCTTCTCCCATAATTACTTCTTCCACCTCCCTACAACTCCATGTTCTTCAATTTAATCTCTTATTCTTCCTTAAGCTATTGCATTTAATGCACATTCATTTCCTTTCTTACTACAAATACTTCTTCTCCTACTACTACTACCATATCATCACTTCACAAGAGTTTCATCATTATTAGGTCAAGATTTCACAAGGATATATCCAATGTCATCCTCAACTACATACTTTTTTCTTTTATTTCTTTGCTTTTCCTTGCATGCATGCAATGCTGGTCGGAGGAATCTGGACTCTCTTGATAAGAAGATGGAGAAGAAACTTAACTTCTCTCTTAAGGTTTGATCTCATTACTCTAGCATAAATATTAGGGTTCTCATTACTCTAGCATAAATACTTTTAGTGTATTAGAATCATGTCTTAATTAATTAAAGTTGATTCATAGTTTGTAGTAATATCTTTTATTCTTAATTAAATAAGTTTTAATTTAATTTATGCAGATTATTGACAAAAATGGTTTTGATTCCTCGCCGATGAAGGTTACCAAAGGCGATAACAAGATGAAGACTAATGAGTTGGTTGGTGATTCGGAGAAGTCGAAAAACCGAAAAAGTACTAATCGGAGAATGTTAAAAGGTGTAGGAAAAGTTTCAGCTCATGGTTTACAAACAAAATCTCATGTTTCAGTTTCATCATGGCGTGTGCCTCACAAGAAGAAGCATAGTGAGAAACATCCTGGTTTTAATTTGGATTATTCACCACCTAAGACTCACCCTCCTTCTCACAACTAAGTAACAATGTTATGAACCCTAGCTAGTTATTACAAACTGAACAATATTGAAAAGAAACTGTATACACAATGACAATGTTAATCTAGGGTGTGAAATGTTTAGCATATGACTACAGAAAATGTTTGTGTTCTTATAATATATAACCAAACATATGGTTTCCAATGTTAATCTAGCTAGGTATAACTATAGTTCTTTTTTATTATATGTATTCATGAAAAAGTAATCATCTCTTCTATTGTGTCTTCCTCTTTGTTGAGAGCAATAATGGATCTTAAGGTCTTAATGAAGAATATTCATATAATGTTCTAAATCATATAACCACAATTGTTGCTGCATTAGCTTCATGATTTCAATGTTTGCAACTCCAACCACTTCAACCCTAATTTAGAGAGAAAATTGTTAGTTGCATTTCAAACTAAACAATTAGTTTATATTAGTAGTTATGTTAGTTACAAGTTAGTTGTTAAGTTAGAGGTTAGTTAAGTTTGACTAACCTTGGCTATAGGAGTAGTTGCATCACAAATCGAAACCAGTTTGAGAGTTGCAAAAACCTTTATAAATGCAAAGCCAATGCATGTAACACCACTACAAATAGTATATACAACGAAGTCTATTTTACAATGGTTTCTTCAAAGATCGTTGTGATATCTCTAAAATCAGTCTTCATCATTTTTAATTATTTTTAATTAAATATAAATTTTTTACTATCACAATTGAATATAAAAATGACGATGAAAGTACTTAAAGTTTCTCTAACATCTCTAAAACCAGCTGCCATCATTTTTAATTATTTTTTAATTAAATATAAATTGCTTATTATCACGATTGAATATAAAAACAACGGTGAAAGTATTTAAAGTTCATGGGTTCCAGTCCGCATGCAAATTTGTATTTTTTTTAAAAATATTATAGTGGCGATTTTCTTTGTGATTTATTTTATAATTAAATATTAATGTGATTTCATTACGGTTGGTGTTTATACCAACCGTCGTAATATGTTTTACTTTTTTTATTATTTTCTTATTTATATAACGACACCATTATTTTTTATTTATTTTTAATTTGAAAATATTTCATATTTCACTATGGTTGGTTGTACTAACCGTTGTGATATGTTTTTGTTTTATTTTTCAATTTTTTAATTTCTATTTAGAAAATTTAATTAAATAGCTAGATATCACTACAGTTGTTTCAAACAACATTGGTGAAATCTGTTATTTAGAAACATGAAACACGACTTAACTTGTCTATTCAACTGTCATTTTTCTATTTCATCTATATTGCCGAGAAACCGTTCAACCCTAACACACTATCATCCCTATCATTGAGAAACCATTCAACTCTAACACGATATTGTCACTATCGTTCGTTCTTAGGTTTCCCTTTTACAAATCAACGAAAATCGTTATCACTATATCGTTTGTTCTTGGGTTTTCCTTTTACAAAGCAACAAAAAACGAAGTTAGAGTTGGAAGACGAAGAAATTAGGACAAAAAATTACAATAAGAACCTCTTTTACTTATTCAACATGTTTCTGGTACGTAAACTTTTCTCCACGCATGTACTGTACATTTATGTTCTCGTTGATAATATTTATGTTTGAGTTGTTGATGTTGAATGTTTATGGTTGTTGTTCATGTTTGTGTTGTTATTTCTATTTATGTTTTTTTGTTATGTTGTTGTTGCTATTTATGTTCTTTGTTATGTTGTTGTTGAATGTGTTTGAGACACACTATTTACATGTCAATAGAACGTGAATGCTCAATTGGTGAAGTGTTATGTTGTTGTTGAATGTTGATGTTTCTTGTTGTATTTTATTGATTATGATGTGTTGTTGTTGTTTGTATGTTGTTGTTGATGATTGGTTTAATATTTTGTTATTGTTTTGGAACATATATGGACTCTTCATCTAGTGACAAAACTCATACAAATGATTTTCGTACAAATGAATCTCAAACTATGGAATGAAAAAAAGAAGAGAAAACAAAGAGGTGTTACAATGATGGCTACATTAACAAAAGTTTGCAACTCGGATAACAAATTCTCGATCGAGTTTAATCCTGTAACTTGGACATGTTATGGTGAAAAACATCCCTTTTTAAGAGTTATGTTGTGTTCCTTTGACTTAGAAAAGTGAATATTTTGATAGACGATTGGACTCATGTACCAGAAAATATGAAAGCAATCATATGGACAAACGTTAAGGTATTAATTTGAATTTAAATGATTCGATTTTATTTTTTATAATTACTAATACATGATGATTGACGTAAGTGTAATCGAGTTTTGACTTTATTAATGATGATAAGTTGAAGAATAAATAGATCACTTATGCTAGTGAACGTTGAAGGAGATTTAAGTCACAACTCGTGTTTGACTACATTATGAAACTTAAGGTTGATCTTTAGCATCCAACTGTGAATTATAATTTTATTGCCAAGAAGGTTTGGGCAAAGTTTGTGAAGTCCCGTAGTTTTGTTGATTTCATGATTAGTAGTAATCATTTATCTGATAATTTTATGCTTATGCTTTATAGATACAACCATGCAATTTAATATTTTCAATATGTTTATAACATGCTAAAAGTGAATAAGGAAAGCTAAATAAGACAAAAAGCAAATATCCCATAGATTGTCTCGCGTGGGTTACATGAAACTTAAGCAAAAATTAATTTATGAAAAGAGACAACGAATGAGAATGAGGACCCCTTGAGTTGTGATCCCAAATCATATCCACTTTCACGACATGGAAAATGGAAGAGGGATCGACAAAGACCGAATGAAGAGTTCACTTCAAATGCATCACAAGTAGTCACTGAGAAAATTGTAAGTAATTAAGATTTGTTGTGCGTATTATTTGTTTATGTCTAATTTAAATCTCTCTATTAAAAATAAATCTTATTCATATTATATAGGATTTTTTTATTGATATGGCTAGTCAAGGTTCTTTTATTCTAAAACCACGACATGATATATTAGTCAAAGTAATCAGAATAATAGATCATGGTTGACGTTACATGGTGTTGGAGAAGGCATCGGCCTGAGAATACTCTTTAGCACAACAAGAAAAAGCACAACACATGCAAAATAAAGAGATGGAGGAGATTGTTGAGAAGAATTTAACAAGTGAACATGAATTGTATAAGAAAGACTTGGAAAATTTAGAGGAGGCGTACAATAAGAAGTTGGAAGATTCATTATCATAGGAGCTAGAAATTCATAGGAAAGAGATGGATGAGCCCATTGCGGTATGTGAGGATAGTGTTTTTTCTAAGATGTAGGATATATTATGTTGAATTTGCTTTGTGTTTTTGTTATTTTTATGATGCAGAGATTAAGTGGTAATATCCAACCGTGTATAAATGAAGATGATGATCATTTGGCTGAACAAAGAGTTGTTGTACGTGGTGTGAGGATGAGAGTAAGTTTTTCATCCTCCCATGTCGATATGTATAATGGGATATTGGTACCTTATGAAGATTAAATTAGACTATTGGTACTTAACCTTATGGATAAGAAACAACTAATTCCTCTTCATTTTGATTATGATAGTGAGATAGAGGTTTTCTACATGGATTCTAAAGATATAAAAGATTTTATGTTTGAAAATGAGTGGTTGGTTGTAAGGATACTACATTTGTGGTGCATGTAAGTATAAAATTAAAAATCTCATTATGGAACATTCATCGTGTTTGTATAAAACTAAATTTTCACTTATTTTTTTGAATTTTGTTTAACCATTCATTGATATTTATGTATTTTTGAGTCCATATAGTATTCTATTTACAAATAATTCTCCAAAAGTGATTGAAGATTTCATATCATCACGATTGAGAGAGGAGAATAAAAAGAATGTTACTTTGCACCATTTATTGATTCGTGAGTAATTTTGAAATTGAAATTTCTCTATTATAGATAGTGAAATTCTGGTATTCACATCTCAGATGTTGATAAGTGAAAATTGTAGTTATTTTTGTATATAATTTTTGTTGCACTTATCGACTCTTTGTTGTTAATATCAGTTGAATAACCTCATTTTATGTATAAATATGTTTAGTTTGTGTATAATGCATTCCATGTACAAAGTGTATTGTTTGATAGTTTTGTATCTATTTTGTATGTATTTGAGCATTGTCGGAGCAAGAGGAATAAAAGCTCCAATGTGCAATTTTGATCAATAAAGGAATAAGGCCAAGAAGAGAGAGCCATTAGAGTTATGTAGAAGGAGAAATAAAATTTGTTGTTCTGGTGTGCCTCACCGGGCAAAGCCTGAGAGAGCAGCATTTGCGCTGGCCTCGCCAAACGACGAAGGGGCGAGAGGACTGGATCATTTATCCAGTAGCTGCTGACTTGGGCTCTCCAGCAGCTTATTGGGCGAAGAAACATTGTGTTCCCAGAAGAAGCTTCCCTTCACTGAGAGATGGTGTACATTTTTGGCCAGTTGCATATGCGGCGCAACCTGGGCCTTGTGTTTAGGAACCATAGTCAGGCGAAGCATTTATGTCGTCGTGCAACGCGTGTGGACCAGATTTTTCTTTATATTTCATTTTCATTTCATTTTGTTTGGTTATGATTTTGGGGATAATTTTTACTCCCAACTTCATCAACCCTCATTTTTTCTCTAGGTTTAGCTTAGAAAACAACATTGAAGCTTGCATACGGATGACTCAGGATGGATTGCTCTTCGATCGCCATTGACAAACTAGGAGATTTGTGGTTTATTCCTCTTCTTCTTTGTGTATTATTTGTATGTTGAGTTTGTATATGTATTTACTTTGATCTTAAGTATATTTGTCGCTCATGGCGTTATATAAAACTTGCTTTACAAATCTTTGTGGATTATTATTCTTGATTTTTGCTGTGCTATGGATTTGAGTTTTTATAGGCATATACTTCTTGGTTTCTTATTTAGGATGATTATCTGTTAGTTTCTGAATTCTAGAGATAGATTAAGAGTTGGCACTCACTTGGGTGTTTGTGATTAATGTCTTTGTGTTGGTT